ATTCGGGGGGTAGTTTAGTTTCTTACTCAAGGGTTAAAACACTTGAATGAGACACTAAACTAACCCTTCCGAAGGGGGGGTTGGTTGCGTTTTAAAAACTTGACTCCCGAAGGGGAGTTAGTTTAGCGTGTTACGTAAGATTTCAAAATGCAACCAACCCCCTAGATCAATTGTTTAAACCATCAATTTGGCTGGTTTAGTTTATGTTCTTACACAAGATTGGTTGCGTTTTATAAACTTGACCAAAGCCCCCTAGAAGCTCCGAAAGGAGCGCCCTGCTCTAGTAATAAATAATAACTGGTGTTATTTAGCAAATTTTTGGCCAAAAACAAATTTTAAACTGGAAAGATCTTGCAGGATTTGAGGTTTTCATGGCGGTGGATCTAAAGATTGCTGTCTTCTAGCAAGGTCTTCATCCAAGGGTTATAGTATTATTGCTAATGATTATTTAAAAGCTCATAACCCAACGTATGCTGAAGAGAATACTTAGAACCAGGAAGAAGTAACAGGAGGGTGGAAAAACTGCATAATGGATTGTTTCTTATTTTGGACTCTTCACCAATGTTGTTAGTAATATCAAGTCAAGAATGGGCAAGACATATAGCAAGATCGGGAAAGATAAAAGCTCCATCACAAGTTTTGTTAGATAAGTTGAAGGAAATATACCGATTGGGCTTAAGTGAGAAGTCGGTATTTTAATGAATTATAGAAAATGAGTGCTTCTGGATTGGACCCACAAGGCGGAGAATAGAAATTTAACAAAAGCTGGGGATTTCGTGACTAGCTCAGCAACAAGTAGATTCTCAATAAGAAATGTGTTTATAGTTAGCGATAAATCAAGTTAAAGTTACAATTATTACGTAACATGATTGTGGACCAGTTGAGATTAAACTCATGAATAAAAGGAAATTTGTTTGTTATATAGTGTTGGCAAACACTTAAATAAATGAATTTAATTTAATTCACTTATCATGACAGAAATGACTCAACAGTAGGTAAACAAATCTGATGTCGTATGGAAGAATAACTAGTTTTTTGGGGTATTTGGATCATATTATTAAAATCTTGGGATAAGACGCGATAAGCCTTTATGATAAAACCAGATTGTAGATAGGTGTCGTATTGTTTGTTATTCGAGGAAAGTACAGTTTGATCATTACAAGGACAAAGTGGAATTTCCAAAATTAACTTGAGTACATAACGATAATGAAACAATCCAGGGTAGCTTATTCGACTTAAAATAGATAAATTACAATAACAAATTAGAAGCACACAAATTATTAGTTGTAATTACATTGAACCTACAAAGACAAAAGACTATGAAAGAAAAAAATAACATGAAAAGGAATAACAATAGGGAGAGATGTGATGATAAACTATAAGACGTAATGTATGTGTGATTTCAACAGGATAAGCAAGAAAAGTATAAAATTATTAGTCGACGGTTGAAGGTTTCTGACAATGGAGCGACATATTACGTTAATATATTTTTATTCAGACTTCCGGGTTTGAGACTAACTCTACTAGGGTGCTTTTGCCCTCCTTTCACCTGATAAAGGGAGTAAAAAACGTTTGAAACTTTGTAGCTTTAATAACATACAGAAGATGGAAAAAGCACACAAAATGACTATTGATGATGTTAAAATATGTATATTTATCGGAAAAGGTTTATTTATATAGAAACAAATGCCCCATTGAACCCAAAATAATGCAGCATTATTCAAACGAGCGAATTGAACGCGAGTTGAGCCTAGCATAATCATGACAGTATCCCACATCCAAGTAAAAAATGGTAATAATATTAGAAATAGTAAAACTAAAAACAAGCTGTCATGGCCTACGTTGCGCATAAGCAACATTATGCCAGTGGGGAGAGAAGCCCAATAAAACTGACAATAACCAGGAAATAACTGAAAATTTCCTTTCAATCAGGTGCGAATAGGTAGGTGGCAGATTATCAGTTTATAGAGTTTAATGCTTTGCTAATTCAATTTGAATCACTAACGGAAGGGTTATCTAACTTTTACGATATGAGACCAATTCCACCGTTACATAATTACTGCCGGTATCCGCGTTATAAGTAATAATAATTTATTGAAATATATATAGTCCCACTGACGCAGGCAGCAAGCACATTTGAAACGTCGGTAAATTTCTACCAGACCACACTCTGCAACAACCCAGCAAACAATCATTTTCAAGAAACAACTGCCCATCACACAAAATTTAAAACATAGCTGCTAATTCCGTAGCCGTCCGCAGTGTCCACACGTCTTGACCGCTCAAACCCTGAGACTGTGGGTTCAAATCCCATCTGAGGCATAGACGTCTGTCCACGTCTTTCTGTGCTGTGCTCTCCTGCATAGGTAGACATGTAGTGTCGAACTGATCCCCAATCCATGGAGTCGTACCACGAATATCTAAACGCATTCATAATATCAGAAATATTTCAGAATTGGAAATGGCCATTAGGTCTAATCGATAACAACTGAAGACGACGAATGAAGCATTAAGTTATCGATATCGTGAAATAAGTTACATGAAAGGAAGCAATCTGAACAAGCAGAGGAAGTAAGCTGAGTGTTTATTAAATCTATCGATCTGATTCCATAGCTCGAGCTGTGTGTCAGTATCTTGAAGACTTACAGGAACGCCGTCATGGCGACAACAGAGGCCCTTTGTTCATTACAGAGAGAGGCAAGTCTAATCTCCCTCCGGATTCTGTCGTCGTTGTCGGTGGAACCGAAAGGACCACCTCGACTTCACTACCCCACCCGACGTGGACCACCGAGGCATTGTTCAACATACCACGCAGTTTAGTCAATTTGTGCCAGTACCAGGGAGACTGTCATTGTGTTGGCGTATCTCAAAGCACTACCACTACTCCTGTAGCCACTTGCTGTTCATTTGACTGGCACACAACTCCGTGTTGCTTTGTGATGGACCAGACTATTATTTATACGGTCTGCCTAGCTATTATAACACATGTGTAATCTGTTTTTAAGAATGTTTACCAAGTTTGACGTCAAACGTACTGTGTCTGTCATATTTTGTGAATGTTCGTTATGCGTTACAATTAAGTACAGGATTATTTATGTTCAAACTAGTGTTATATGGTTTTAATCAAAGACGTTTAATGTGTAGTTGATGTTTCTAAAGCGGCACTCACTTCATAATAAATTAACATTTCTATAGGATTAAATAATTATATTAACATCTGAATAAAATAGATGACAATAAATAATGTTTTGAATGGGTTCAAGAACAAACTCGTCAGTAATGTTGAGGAATACTAATTTCTCTTTATCTTTCACATGATATTATGTAAAGATGAATATGTATCCTTATGGATCTCTGGAAGTGCATTTGCTTGGCATACGAAAAGGAGTCTTCCGAACTAGGTACACCAAATTGACAGATGTTGCTGAATGCTACACCAGAGAACCAACAGGTGTTTTACCGTACCTCAAAGTGTTCTACGCTCAGCTTTAATAGCTAATCCTAAAATGTTCGTAATAAATAAGCAGTTTCATTTTTCTAGTAAGAACCTAACGGATACTTTCGGCAAGCCTCTTTATCTTCAACAGGAATGTGTAACTTTATAATATTTCAATAGCATCCTGTTTTGTTAATAGGCCAAAGCATAATCATGATTTATACAATTAATAAGGTATATTATTACTTGAATAAAGTTTATTTGTAAAACCGGGCGAAAAATGACCATTTCATTGGTACAAATAAAATTTTTGACAACAGACTGATTTTGAAAATTTAACTGAAATGTTAAAAAAGTAATTAACCAAATAAAAAGTGTCTACAGATTAAGATTTTAAGACGTAGCGTGTGGTCGTCTGCATCATGTCTCGCATTCATCTTCTGGGCCCAACCCTGAAAATGGAGGACAGACTTGAAGATTACTGTCATCTGCGTTGTTGCGCATTGTAGTCTGGTAGAAGTTGACCGATGAATTATTCATCGCCCTGATGATGGAGGCATCAAAGATCTCTGAAACGTCTGTAGACTTCTACCAGACTACAAGGCGCAACAACTCAGAAGACAGCCATCTTCAGACTCACCGCCGTGGAAACATCAAATCCAACGAGGACATGCTTTCCCCCAAAACGCTGTTAAGAAACAGATTGCATAGACTCACAACCTATAAGATCACAATCGATATCCTTAAATTATTGAATTAATTAGAAATTGCGAAACGTCTCATGTCTGTTGTGATATTGCACACACCCATCACCCCATAAACTGCATCATAATGCTAAATATATATAATTTAATTGTAGTTACAAAACTAATGGGATTCCGCATCTTAAGCACTGCTGCGGTCGGTAGAACTAGAGTAAGACATCCATTCTTACTCAAGGAGTCAAATCCACATCCTGGATGGGCTCTCACGTCTCGCTGGTTCCCTCATTCCCTTCTCATCAACTACTGAATGCTTAATTTCCATTCAAATACACGAACTGCCCGCGTTTACACTGGTATCACATATTACGTCGGTCCTGTATATC